GGGTGTGCCTGCCCCAGCCAGCAGCTGTTCTGTAGTAGGAATGGAAGGCATAAAGCAAGCGGCTAAATCGGAGTTGGGGTTTTGCGGATGGCACCAGGGAACTGGAATGATATTTTGGCATTGTCTCTGCAGACACACAGAAGGAATTTCTCTGTTATGGAGAGGGGAGGCAGCGAACTCAGAGGAGAGGCGAGTCCTCAGCTTCCCGCACGCTGGCATCATGCGGTTGGGCACTGCCCTCTTGGATGCAGGGAGGCTTTGGGGATGCAGGATGCAGGGGTTTGGGATGCAGGATGCAGGGCTTGGGGTCCAGTACCTGTGAACAGATGGGTCTTTAGCTGTGGTACCCACCCGTGGTCCCCCCACGTCGGTGGGGCTCGGGGCAGCGACACGCTGCTGGCGGCTGAGCCATTTTCTGTTGCTCTATTTAAGAGTCTGAAATTAAGTTTTAAAATTATGGCTTTGTAGACTTCCCCTCTGCCACACAGGACACGTGGGGCAGAGGCCAGGGCCGCAGCTGGCTTCGGGCTGTGGCTGCTATGTGAGCCCATCTGCCCCCGTTTGTTTAGGGGGGCTGTGGCTGGGGGCAGCAGGGCTGGCTGGGGGCAGCAGGGCTGGCTGGAGGGGCTCTGTGTGGGGGTCTGAGACACCCCCGTTTGTAGACCCTGACTTAAATAACTCGTGTTCTGGGTGTGTCTGGAAGGGAAGTGTGCTGTTCATAGCCCTGTGGCTTATTAGGAAGCCACAGTGAGATTTTTGAGACCAGCTACATGGGGTGGGGACGGGAACGGAGGTTTCCAGATGGCTGGGGGTACTTAGCCCCTTCTGGCATCATCTTGATGTGTGTAGGAATGGGAGCAGCATGCATCAGTCCCACTTCTGATGGTGGGGCTCCTCCAGACACCCCGACACTAGTTCACAGGTAGATGGTGGTTACTGGGTATTCACTGAGTGCAGAGTGCTTCTGCTCTTTAGGTTCCCTGCTTCCGTCTTTGCATTCAGTTCTAACTGCTAATAATCACAGGTAAAACTTCTCAAGTATGTTGGTTGCCCAGTTAGCTTTCACCAGAAGACCTCTGTGTCGTGGGCTTCTTTAGCCACTCAGCCCAGAAGCTGGCGGGGTGTTGTTTACCCTCCCTGCGTGCTCAGAAGGGCATGGAGTTATTTGAGGAAATGTGAAGGAAACGGATTGTTTGGTTTGGTTTGGTTTCTTTTTTCTGGGGGGCGTGGAGGTGTCTATGTTTATTTTAAGCACATCTTCAAGCTATAATAAGTGTTTCCTAGCCAAGAAGGTTCCGCAGAGCGGTTTGGGGTGTAATTAGGGGGGAGGCAGGGGAGCAGTGTGTGGATGTGGGCTGTGCCCAGCCGCCGGGTCTCTGAGGGGCCTGTGCTCGCTCTGCAGCCAGGCCATGGAGCAGCCCCCGAGCCGCCGCTCGCCCCTGACCCCCTGTGCCTCCCAGGAGGGGCTGACTGGAGCTGCCCCGTCCTGCCTGGCAGGAGAAGTGGGGATACAGACTGGTAAAAGGATTTGGGCAGGCAGGAGGGTGGCGGGGGGAAGGTGCCACGAGTTTTTACGCTTGCAGGGAGCTTTCTCCTGAGCTGGCTGAACTTTGGCTGCTGCGGTCGTGAAACTGGAAACTGTATTATATAACTGTGGTGTAGCTGTTTTGTAATAAAATGTCCTTTTGGAGAGATAGGTCCATTCACTGAGGTCAGAATAGTGAAAATAAGCTACAAAGGACAAACTGGGGAAGATGGGTTATGGTTGAAGTAAACCTAAAAACCTAAACCTGAAGTGCTCGGGCTAAGGAAGCCCTGATGATCTTTGTTCTGAAATACCAAAATTAATTGGAAGTTGCAGGTCCAGCAGCAGGTATCTTTAATGAATCTGTCAAATCGAGATAGATTGACCGGTGATGCTGTATGACCAGAGAGTGTAAGTCTAAGTGATTTGTGTACCCACAAACGTTTATTGTGTAATTTAAGTTATATAGGGGAGTTAAAGTAGCACCAACACACAGCCCAGCGTCTTGAGAGTGCAGCACACACTTACTCCCATCTAGTAATGCAAGTTTAGTTGAAAAATAGGTGAAGTCAAGCTATAAAGCATTTCTGGCCACAGAGCAGGCCTAACTTTTGTGCACTCTGCCAATCTTAACATGAAGCAGGTTGCCAAAATAGAACAGAGTGTTATGTGTTAGATCCTCAGAGTGAGTTGACTGTAGGCTAGAGATAAACCCTGCCCGTGGACAGGCAAAGCAATACTGTCTCTAGCTCTAGATTCATCCCGGTGTGTTTGCAGGACAAATAAATTAAATGGTGTGATATTCCTCATCATGGGCTCTGAAAGCAAGGTTGGGTGATCCATGGACAAACATTGACCTCAAATGAAAATGCAGCAGTTCTGAAATAGCAGGAGGATTTGCTGTACTGCGTGTGTTTGTGTTTATAATCACACATTTTGTTCTGCTAAGGATTTGTGGAAAATTAAAGGAAATCAAAATGCCAGTTTACTTTTAAACTTCACTGTCGCAGGCAGATTGGAAGAGGAGGCCATCTGTATTTTGGTTTTAAAATTTAGAAGTGGAGGGAACGGAGCCCAGATGTGGATTGGCAGCCCTGTCGACGCTGTCTTTTCAGCTCCCAGAGCAGGAAGGGAATTAGACAGGATTTCTGAAGTGTGGCAAGTTAGGCCCCTGGGGCACTGCTTGTGCTGTGGGGCTGTTTTGTTTTATAAAATAATCCTTAGAGTTTAAATGTACATGATTTTGTTAACTCGACTGCAGAATGAAGAAGAGCAGGTCGGGTGTTTGGCAGGGGAGCCAGGAGAGGGCAGGTCTCCGAGGGCACAGCAAGTGTTTGAGATGGGCAGTACCAAGGCCAGCTGTGCTGCCGAGGTGCCCCCATGCCCCTGGCAGCCCGAGGAGAGGAGAGCCCTGCAGGCATGCGAGAGGTTCCGCTGGTTTGTTCTCTGTGGGATGGGTGTGGAAGCCTTTGCTGGGGGTTAACAGGGTCCGTGTGGGCACGGCGGTGGAAGGGAACAAGGGCTTCTGGCTTTCTCGGGGTCAGGTTAGCCACTTGGTTTGAGAGAGGAGGAGAAGAACAACTCGCTGCTTCCCTGTCCTACCAGCTCGCCAGTGTCCCCACGCTCCGTTCCTTCTGCTGGTGCCGTGGTGTCCCACACCAGCACTCCTGCCACATACCTTCAGTCGCCTAGTCTGAGAAAAAAATCTGTCACCTCATTTTTTTCTGCCTGTGGTATCTGGAAATCTTACAGTCTTACTTTTCCCTCCAAAATGTATTTTCCTTCCAGAAATGCACATTGTGAGCATATCAGAGTCTCCACTCTTCTTCTTTTTGTCTTCTAGAGCAAGGAGATTGGCCTGCAGATGCACGAAGAGCTCCTGAAAGTCACCAATGAGCTTTACACGGTGAGTGACGAGCTGGCCCTGCCCGTGCCATGGGGGGAACGTGGGGGACATCACTTGCCAGAGCAGGACGTGTGCTCGGTGTCCCGGTGGCCTGTGTGGCTCGTGCTGGCCCCGGCGTCTGCGCGGCGGCCCCCCAGCCCTGGGCCTTCCCTGGGAGCGTCCTGCTCATCGCTGGGCTGGAGGAGGCTCTCCCAGGGGCCCTGCTGTGCACGTCGTGGCACACCAGCATCCCTCTCACTGGAAATGGAGGTGTTTTGGGCACTGCCCCGCGTGTCCACTTCTGTGCCGTGTTTAGGCCCTTTTCTGTTGTCCCTCAGCTGGAGGGTTCTCCCCCGGGCGGGACCCTGCGCGGCTGCTCGGGACACTCTTCGAGCAGGTTTTCACAGTAGGGCAGTGGAAGTGTTTGTGTTGCTGCTGTCTCTTGCCCTGTGTAGCAGTTGGTTCCTTTAAAATTATTGTAATTTAGGATCAATGAAGCAATATAAAGTCTGTCTTGTGTTGAAAAACTGGGAAGATACATTTGCTTTCTCGGTTGTATCTGTTACTGGTACGTAAGTAACACTGAAGTAGGTTTATTCCTAAAGAATTGCTTTATCCCATCTTTTTGAAAAATAGACCTAACAACAGCGCATGAATGATACTATTGGAAATTTCTGCCATAAATCTTCTCTTAACAGGCCTGTTTCTGTATTGGTTGTTGAAGGATTCAGTTTTTGCAGTGTGGGTGGACAGCCAGGTTGGATTAAACTGTCCACATGAGATTTGGGACTGTTATTGATGGTTGAATGTCACAAGCTGTGTTAGTGGTGGGGACTAATTAAGATTAATTACAACAGCAGCATGACAGCTGCAAAACAAGGAAAGACTACCAAGGGCTGGGCTGACCTTCATACCAGTGGACCAGTGTACTTGGAACACAAACACGGGACAGGAGTGTCACCTGAGGGGCACGGTTGGGCCAGCTTGGGGATCAGAAGTGTGCTCAGACCTGAAGCGCATGTGTTGGCCAGGGAGGAGCAGGGAGAGTGATTTTGCTCCCACTGAGTGCAGCAAAACTTGTCTTCACGGGAGCTGAGATTTCCTCCCGTTCCCTGCTTTGCTCAGAGATGCTGAGCAGACTGTGTTTGGCTGGTGAAGCAGACTGGAACGGCTGGAGGAGCTTTGTGTTTGCTTTGAACTGACCTTGCTGCTGAGATAGCAACCGACTGTGCCGTGGGGCTGGGAAGGAGTGGGAAGGGAGGGGATTATTTTGGAGATGATGGTGAAGCATGAGGGGAAAAGCAGGTCCTGTTGGGGAAACAAGAGCAGCTTAAACCTGTTCAGTGCAGACCAGCTCCCCTTCGGTTGGTAGTTTTCTGTCCTTGAGACATGAGGTAGAACAGGCTTAACTGCCTGCTTGGCTTGCAGTGGTCCAGCGTGCTGCTGGTGGTTTGGGACAGCTTCAGGCTCACCCCAGGCAGTTGGTGTGTTCATTGCCACGTGCTGGGTACCCAGGAGCAGCCTGTTCAGTAACCATGGCTGCTGGCAAAGTCGGGTCCAGAGGAAGGAGCCTGGCTCAGAGGATGCCAAGCTGCTCCGTGTAAAACGTCACTTGTCTGCTGTCAGCACAAGGAAGTCGTTCATCTTGTCCATGGCCAGGCCTCGTCTCCACAGTGCATCTGTGCTGTGCTGTGCTGCTTTTTAAGCCTTCCAGAGGGGAATTATGAGCACAGTGTGGAAACTGTGTAATTTTTTACAGGCTTCTCAGGCATTCACTGTCTCAAACTTAAGCCAAAATAACAAAATTGATTTTAATTCAACCTTTATTCTGATGCAAGTCACTCTGTGGACTCTCTGTGTGGAAAGAACTACACCCCCAAACCACGCTGATTTTAATTAAAAAGGAAGTAGATGACTTCCGTTCTGAAGCACAACTTGCTGGTGAACAGTTTTGCACAGAAATAACGTAGCTGTGAATTAAAGCCAGCTTCATTCTTCTGATTCCTGCTTAAAGACTCCAGCAGAGAGATACCAAGTGGGAGTCTGTAAAGGTTGAAGGCTCTTCGTCCTTCTGCTCACAGGTCCCTTTCTCTATCATGTGCATTCCTTTGTGAAGAGGTCAGGCCAAAGCACTAGGGTGAGCAAAGCAGAGACCCCAGAGCACCGTGCTGGTGGTGTTTTCTGTGAGCTCTGGCAGCCATGTCCCCTTTGGTGTGTGGCACTAGGGCCGGGCTGCTTCACGTGTGGGCTTGGCCATGCTGCAGGGAGGTGGCTGTAGCTGAGGGCAGCGTGCTGAGTCCACACAGGTGCTGTGATGTGAGCCAGTGTGATTCTCTGTCACAGGGGTATGGAAGAGGATTAATAACTCTGAAATGAATTTTATCAATTAGAATAATATCTACAGATGCATTACCCAGGTTAATAATAATAATAATAGTCATCATTCCCTGTTTAGCAGGACAGTTCTTCCCTTTCCATTGGGAGCATGGCAGTGGGGGAGGCTGTGCCTCTGTGGTTGGTGGGTGTTTTCTGTGAGTGTTGTGCTGTAGAAGTCACTGACTGTGCTGGTAGAACCACGCTGATCGCTCTGTATCATGCCGTAGAAGTGCTCTGAAAGGAGTGTTTGCTTTCATGCTGTCTTAAAAGGCCAGGGAGATGGAGGTCAGTGTCCATCGGCCTGCTGGATTTGTCCCTTTCTCAGACTAACACTGTGTGTGTCCCTTTGGTTGCGCCAGAGGCTCCATCCAAAGAGGAGGGGACTGGGGTCTGTGGCAGGCTACCACCTATGGCCTTGCACATCTCCACTTCACCCTCTGTGCTGGGCCTGTGCTTTGCTCTCCTTGACTTCAGGAGGACCTGAGCTTGTGCTTAGCACAGGTCACCCCATTTCTCATCTCCTCATCGGCTGGGTCAGAACCTTAATTACAAGCTGCTCAGAAATCCAAAGTGCTTCTAGCTGAAGGCAGCAAACAGTGCCATTTATGGCTGGTATTTTGGCAATGGCCTTTATCCAGAACGTGTTATTAATATTGGAAAACACAACTTGTGTTGTTAAATAACTAATGAACATTGGAACATATTTTTCTCCCTCCACTGCAGCTAATTAACTTATTTGCAGAAAGATCCCAGGGACACAGCTGTGGCTTTTCCTTATGACAGCAGCGTGAGGCAGGGGCAGCGTGACTGGACTGCAGGCACCGGGCAGGCAGCAGGGGGGCTGTGGGTCCCAGGGCTGGTGGCTGCAGAGCAGGGAGCTGTGGGGCCCCGGGC